TCAGGGGGCCTGGCTAGGAAGCTATTGCTATAGTCCAATCAATACTATTTCATTTGAAGCTATCAAGATCCGATGTGTCGGGGGAGGTGAGGGAATGTGTTGTTGTTGTTTATCCTTTGTTTTCAAAGAGGACCAATGACATCATGGGTGATGTCTTGATTTGCACATGAATTGGATTGGAGTGAGGTGGGAGTCCTATCTTTAATATGTGCTACAAATGGAGAAAGATACCATTAAAAGACAATTTCATATTTCAAAAGAAAAAGAAAAAAATGACATACATGAAGTTTTTAGAAGCCCTCAAACCATTCAGAGACAGATGAAGGGCCACAGGCATTTTGATGAAGAGATTCTGTCAGTGATGCAGACTTCTGAAAATCAACTTCATCTGCACTTCCCCTAGTATATAGAAGATGGTTGACATTATTTTGGTCCTAAATACCAAGAGCCACAACATGTGGCTTCCTGTCTAGTATTAAAACCAACTAAAATAAAAGTAGAAATTCTAGAAATGGAAACTTCACCTCTCATATTCATAGGGACACTCCTCAAATGTTTTGCTTGCCTTATCATTGAAGTATTAGTTACACACACACACACACACACACACACACACACACATACTGCTTGTTAAGCTCAACTACATCCCCAGGGGAAACAACTTCTCTCCTCTTTCAGGCATATTCAACCAGTTTCTGATCAATTTCTTTACAAGAAGTAAAGAAATCTTTTAAATTCTAAGGGTGTGGCAATGCAACTACCCTTTTCCACCATGGCCAAATTTAACTCCTTTTCAAAATGGAATCATCTGAGCTATTTAATACACTTAGCATTAAAGGTATGAAGTAGAACTCACTGAAATATTGGGCCACTGGTTCATGAAATTATTACCCTTCAAAGTTATAATGTCATCTTGGCTGAGTGTGCAGCATTTCCTTCTGGAAGACAGAGGTATCCATTAGTAAATACAAGTCAAGGACATATTGTTAGAAGTTGAGAAGCCAGAATCAATCAGGCAAGCAATCAACAAACATTTATTAGGAGATAAATGTCTTCCATCCACTGCGCTAGGAACAAGGGGCACAAATACAAAAAAGGAACTTATACCTGATCTCAAAGAGTTTATATTTTACTGGAGACGGGAAAATAAATTAGATTCACAAATAAATAAGAGTAAGCCTATGCAAAGGCTTAGGATGAGATTCATCCTTTTTTCTAAATGTAGAGGTAAAGACATAGACAAGTACAAAGAGACAAGAGACAACAAATGTGAGGTATGATCTTTGGGCAGATATTGTTTGCCCTCTTTCGTTTTTTCTATTACCTTATTATCTGTGGGGTAAAGGTTGCTTTAGGCTCTGAAATGTTCATTGTAGCAAAAAGTTGAGAAGATTATGCATGACCCCTCCCCCTAAACTGAGCAAGGATAAAAGTTGTCAGGGCATTTCCACACACATCTTCAAGAAAATTGGATTAATATATTCAGTTTTATCTTAATTGTAAAAAGGGGGGGTACAAAACTGAGCTTTTCCTACAAATTGTTAAAATTTACCAATTCTTTTGTTTCATGCAAAAATAACACATGCACACTTGGCAACGAAAGCACTGTGATTGTCTCATCCTAGTATAGCTAGGTAAGAATTTGAAAATTAGAAATACGAATCAGATTTTTTTCTGCTTTGAATATAAGCATGAAAAGTTTTAGAGTGGAAGGATATGTTACAAAGTACCACCCCAACACCTTAACCTAATTCTTATATAACAATACACAGTATAGTTGTCATGGTCTCTAATGTCTAATGTCAATGAGTAAAACTTAAGTAAACCTATTTCTTTTTCAAAAATTTTTTACAAATATGATAAATTTCAGCCCAAATAGTTTAATTTTTTGTGTGTTCATTTCTTTTAACAGAAGCTAGGTGTATGTAATCACCAGAAACCCTAAAGTAATTATGGATGTACAAAAAAAATGGGACCCGTTTTTAAGAATCTCCCTGTTTAGTTATCCTTAGGAATATGGTAATTATCAATAAATATCTATTTACATCGCTGCCTTCTAACTACTCGTAATGGATCTCCTCCAAAGAGGAGGATGTCTTAAGAAAGGGGCAACAATATATTATTCTGTTTGATTGGGGAGGTGGCATCCTGATGCTTGTGAAGAAGCTAGGTGGTACAATAGATAAAGCACTGAATCTCAGATTAAGAGGACCTGAGTCCAAATCTTGCCTTAGACACTTGCTAGCTGTGTCATCTAAATCTAAAATGGGAGGAAACCCTGTCATCCACCCCCTAATTCTAATAAAATCTGGCATAGAGTTTGAAATATAAAAAGAGTAATTTGGGCTCCAACCTCAAGTTGAGCCAAAGAATAGGCTATGCAGACTGCAGCAAATGAGGACTAAACAAGGAGTATTGGAAAGGACAGAAAGATTTTCTGGCCATCACTACTCTTCTTCTTTCTCTGGTGCCTTTATTAAAGAAAGGAGCTATACTCATGTTCTCTGCTTGGAAAATAAATGTCCCATCAGGAGACTGGAGTGCCATGTGTCAAGGTATACAAAAAGAGACTGGGACAAGTACTGTTGGGACCTTATTCCATTCAATTTGTAGGAATATTTACATAGCTGTATGTTTATGGTTGTTATAAATCATTATAATGTCAACTAGAAATAGCTGTTTCAATATATTTTATGTTTATATTACACCAGAAATGTCTGCAAAAGTTTCTGTGTTTGCAAATATTCCCTAAATATTTCTCAGGCTCACTCTCTCTTGCCAGCTAATTCTTATGTTTAAATGAATGATTATGCAACCTACACCCACCCACATCAACTGCTGCTTGAAAACTCCCAAGAATCCTGGCTCTGGAGAGTTAATTATAGTTTGTAATCTGGAATAGATAGATAGATAGATAGATAGATAGATAGATAGATAGATAGATAGATATACACATATACATACATATATATAATATATATATTACATTTAAAGTCAGAGTGAATACACTAGTCTAGAGAAAAGACCCCTGTGCAAAATTTGTCTTGGAAGTTGGAAAATTTAAATGTATCCACTAAAGACATGATTTCCAAAGGCACGAATCATTTTAATTTCCTGTGGTGTGATAAATTTGGTGTCTTGTCTTCTTATCTGAAATCTTGTGGGTAGAAAATGGAGAATAAATGGAAAGACACCACAAGATCCCTATGACTATATTTCTTCTTCATGGCTTTGCTGGCTATGCCATTTTTTATTTTGTTTTCTTTCTGTTGTGCCTTTCCATGTACATGGTAATACTGCTGGGCAATAGTTTTCTCATTACAATGAGCATCCTGGACTCTTGCCTCCACAACCCCATGTGCTTCTTCCTTAGGAATCTCTCCTTCCCAGACATCTGCCATACATCTGCTTCAGCTCCTTTGTTACTTAGGAACTTCTTTTCAAGGCAAAAAGTCTGTTTCCTTCATTGGATTTAGACGACAAATGTTCTTTGCCATGGGGTCTATAGATAAAAATGGTGACCCCACTGTTAGGGCCTTGCCCAATTAATTATTCTTGGCTGCATGGTAATCTCCAATTAATTTTCCCTTGACAAATCATCATCTTCTAGCTATTTGTAATGTAGGGAGGAGTGGGAGAAGATACAGTAACAAAACAGTCAACCATGCAGAGAAAAAGAAAGCAGCTGCCCTGGATCATAAGACAGGACAAAGAAGCAGCTTTCTGTTGCTAATAGGGTAGAATATCTTTGCATTAAAACTAACTTTCTTATTAAAAAGGACTGATTTCCTCCCCACAATATCTTGAAATGAAAAAGATGTGATTTTTCCTGAAACCCACAGGAGGAGATGAGGAAAAGGATATAGAGGTTCTAGACCAATGTGACAAGACTAAAAACAATGGAAGGACATACAGACACATATCATTTCCACTCTTCTGTCTTATCTGGTGTCACTTTTAGAGGAAATACCTCTGCTCTTTGGCTCATAGATCAGCTAAAAAAAATTTACTTTCCTATCTTGATCACCAACAGACTAAAAGAACTCCTGTCAAGATATATACAACAAGGTTTAGAAGAATTCTTGATTTACAAGTTAATTTCTTTCTTTTTGCAGAAATATTTGTGCTAGCTACATCTTTAAGGATTTTTTTCTAAATAACAGTCTCAATTTATAGAAGGTATTTTCTATTTATGTGGCTCTAGAAATCTTGCCAAAATTTCATGTGCTTAAAACTATTTATTAAATTTCTCACTCCCTCTGCATTTTCTTCCTGTTGTCCTTGGAGGGGAATGCCTATTAATTGAGAGGGGGCTCAGGCTAGCTTAAATTCCTATCAGCTACTGTTTTTAGAATACTGAGAGTTGTCTGCTAAGACAGGGAAGTGAATGACACACTTAGATCTCCTATCAAAGTAGGTTGGCACAAGGTTAATGACAAACGGGTTTCTGAGCACATTGGACTGGAGCTAGGATACCAGTGCAAAATCTGTCTAGACAACCTGGCATTGTAAAATGACTACCTTTCCAGGAGTGTACTGAAGCCAGTTCATATCACCTCAATGGTTGTCAGATTTTCAGTGTAAACAATTACACCCTGGAAATTAGCAAGTGACATAAATCAGGCCTTGCATTATTATTTTATTGATTTCTAGACTAAATAAAGTCATAGAGAAAATGGTAAACAATACAGATCAAGCTTTAAAGTATGTCATGTCTTTTCTGAGAGCCATTTGTTAGATTTTTGCCTAGAACTAGTTATCCCAGAATATAATTTTTAAAACAAAGGTGGGGCAGCTAGGTGGCTCAGTGGATAGAGCACTGGCCCTGAGTCAGGAGGACCACAGTTCAAATCCAGTCTCAGACATTTGACACACACTGGCTGTGTGACTCTGGGCAAGTCACTTAACCCCAATTGCCACGCCCAAGAAATGTGACATTTCAAAATCACTTCAGTAAGATAAATTTTGTGCTTGTCTTACAGGTGGACAAAAGCAACTGAATGGAAAATCCAAATCAGACTTTGGTGACCATGTTTTTTCTCCACGGTCTTGCTGCCTACCCCAACTTTCATTTTATTTTCTTTCTGTTGTGCCTTATCATGTACATTGTAATCCTGCTGGGCAACAGTTTCCTCATTACAATCAGTATCCTGGACACCCACCTCTATACTCCTATGTACTTCTTCCTCAGTAACCTCTCCTTCCTAGACATCTGCTACATAACTTCTTCTATTCCTATGATACTTGTGAACTTTGCTACAGGGCAAAAATCCATGTCTTTTGTGGGTTGTGGAGCACAAATGTTCTTCTCCCTTGGCCTGGGGTCCACAAAGCATGTGCTCCTAACTGTAATGGCATATGATCAGTACGTGGCCATTTGTAAGCCCCTGGGGTACCTCATCATCGTGAACAAGGGGCTTTCTGTGAAGCTGGTGACCAGTTGCTGGATGGCAGGTGGGTTGACTTCAGTGATACAAACCACCCTAACTATGCGGTTGTCATTTTGTGGGAATGTCATTGATTATCTCACATGTGAGATACTGGCTGTGTTGAAATTGGCCTGTGAAGATATTTCCCTCAATATGATTATTACATCACTTTTAAATATCATTATAATAATTATTCCAGTGCTGTTTGTATTCATCTCCTACTTTTTCATCCTCTTTACCATCCTAAGAATCAATTCTGCTGAGGGAAGAAAAAAAGCCTTTTCTACCTGCTCAGCCCACCTGACTGTAGTGATCATATTTTATGGGACCATTCTCTTCATGTACATGAAGCCCAAGTCCAAAGACTCCCATGCATCAGATAAGCTGATTGCTCTCCTCTATGCTGTGGTCATTCCCATGCTGAATCCCATCATTTGCAGTCTGAGAAACAAGGATATAAAAGCAGCTGTGAAAAAGCTGAGCAAAAATATGTTCTCACAGAAAACATGAGATGCTGTAGCCATCAGTTATATAAGAAGAAAAAATAATAAACTGCATACATTCAGAATCAATTTGTCAAACCCTGATTTTCTCCCTTCCCAATTGAAAAACCTTATCAAAAACACCTATGGTAATGCATAGACATAGAGGGGACTAGAATGAAAGACACTCAATAAAGTACAATACGGTATGCTTTTCCTAGTTGGAAAGATAAAAGATGTAGGATCCAAATAAGGGGAACCCTGATGGCAGAAGCAGGAACAAAAGTAGGAAAATATGAGCTTGATGTCAGTAAAAACTTCTTAACATTTAGATTTGTCCCAAAATGAAATAGATTGCCTTGGGAAGTAATGGGTGCACCAAATTGAAGACCTCCAAGGAAAGCTTCACATTTACAAAGCTTCACGTATAATCTTGCATAACACTAATTTTATGGATTAGTATCAATCCCTCACATATATTGAATACCAGACTTTCATCAGAAAAATTTAGTACAAAGATTTTTCTTTAGCTAACTGAATCCCTTCTAATTCAAAAGAGATAAAACGGACAATTTTTATTATATAACACTGAAAAATTCTATTCCAAAAAAAATCAACGAATTAGAATTAGAAGGAAGACATATTAACTGATTCAGGAAGAAGGGAGCATACCCAGGAGAGAAATTTACACAAAACTGTAAAGCAAAACAACTACGAAAGACTCAAGACCTATGAGCAATAAAATGACCAATTATGGCTCCAGAAGATGAATCACATGTCCCACCACTTGACAGAGAGGTGATAGATGAAAGGTGCAAGATGAGACATACATTTTCCACAAATTAATTTTTCCAATGACTATATTTTTATTACAAAAATTTTATTACTATATGGTTTTGGGGGAAGCACTGGAAGAGGGAGAGGTTACTGATACTGATACCAAAAAATGAAAAGAAAAGAAAGAAAATATTGGCAACAAAGATTTTTAAAACTGAAAGAAGAGGACAGAAGATGGTTCAGAAGGAAATACCAATGAATAAGACAATACTGAAGCTACCATATTAAATTTGCAATATATTTTTAAAAGTCATATATAGTGAATATTTAGTTTCATGTGCTCTCCTTTTTTTTTTCTTTGCATGTAGAATTTTTTGTGCCTGCTTATTCTTATCAAGTTAATAATCATAAAAATATAAATTTAAAAAAAACTCAGGAGCCCCCATTAATTTTTTTCCCTTTACTAGGCAAGCCAAAGGACATATAAGTTCAAAGAAGACATTTAATTAGACCAGAAATACTAAGTGTCCAGAAAGATTTCTCCTATGCAATCAGGGCTAAATCCTCCCACAAATCACCAAGCTATCAATGGAGGAGGGGACCTCTGGAGGAAATGCAAAACACTGGGGAACATTCAATGCAGAATACAGACATAGGGAACATGTGGCCAGGAAAAACAAGTGAGGAGTTGGAGATGCAGGCCTAAAGTTCAGAAGAAAAATGAGGGCTAGATATATAGATCCTACAATTCTTAGAAAGAGTTGGTGATTTAATAGATGCCCTCACAGATCCTTTCCAGTTCACTGATTCTGAAAAAGTTATATTTATGTAAGAGTGGGGTGACTGATTTATTCAATCCCACCACAACTAAAGTGATAAGGTGCCAGATGAACCAATTCCAATCATAGGTCTTAGACTGTGTGAAAAAAAGTCCTTTGAATTGCAATGATGTTGTACGAGGATTATGCTCAGATAGTCAAGAAAGTTGGGCTACACTCTATAGGTCATTTAAGTCTAGGGCCACTCATTCTGTCCCAAGAGGAGATGACTTTTCCCATCCCTCAGTATCAGGCTCTCCTTCCTCTAAGAAAGAGAAACCCAGAGGATTTTCTGATTAGGCAATAGTCAAAGAGATGAAAATTTATTTATAGGCCCTCTTAATAGCAGATACAGTCCATTTAAAGTTAGGGTATTTATGTATTGCATATATGAGTATAAGACAGTACCCCTGAGAAAATAAGTAAAGAGGGTAAATTAAGGGAATAGGCACTTAACTGAATGCTAACTGGCAGAGGGCACAGGAAGTGACCAGGAATGGACAAGGTTGAGGAAAGGCTTTTACAAGCTTCTAAATTCTCATAGTGTTCCTAGTTGTTAGATATACAGTTCAGTTTTAACAAACTCTTAAGTAGGCTATAATTGGGTTTATGGGACATTAATCCCAAAGCACCAAAACTTTTTCACCCTAATGCTTTTCATCTTTAAATTGCCTCTGGGACCAAAAAGGTCCCCAAAAGCCCAAACGTATTTATATTGCCTTCTGGATTCAATGGCAGATCCTTTGGTGATTCCATCCATTACAGGATGTGGTCAGACATTATGGAAAGCAGGACATGGAACTTCCTATATGCTGACATTTTTCTTCTAGCACATTGGACTTAACATTGCTTCATTTCCACATGTTGGATTTAACAAGACTTGGGAAACTGATTTCTCATAATGTCTTTTGTTCATGGAAAGTTTTAGATCTGGGTACTAGAAAGGACTTTAAATTAGAAGACATCTGGACAAGGCTTCCACCCAAAAAAAGGAATCCTTTCTACAAACTTCCTGATAGATAGTCATCTAGCCTCTGTTTGAACACATCCAGTGACAGGAAGATCACTGTGTTTAACTGGGGAATTTATGTAGCTGAGAAAGAGCAAATCTACAGGTAAGACTGCACTCCTAATTTGGAGACTCCCTCTGTTCTCTACAAGAACACCGAAACAAATTAATCCTGTGAACTCCAGGGCATGAGAGATGCCTTCTGTATTAGGGAGTGTGAAAGAATGAAGACGGCATCTTTGTGAGAGCCAGTTGCTTTGTTATGTATATCTTTCATAGAAAGAACCAAAATGATTGTAAGACTGAAAGAGGAACCCTCATTCCTGAAGGCAAATGGGAGAGAAAAAGAATATATTATTACAGTGGGCTGTTAGGGCTTGTGGACACTAAGGGCTTGTCTGTATGCAGATTTACATTGTGATGAGTTAGAACCATTATGTCCATAAAATTTGTCCTACATTAAGTACTTTCAAAAGTATACGTAGAATATTGTGGTTGGGTGGCAATGATGATGATGATGACATGATGTTTCTATGTAACTTTACTTTTACAGAGTAAACTATGCCTTATCTCCCTTTGGCCTCACAACAGCCCTTTGAGACAGGTAGTATTATCTTCGTTTTATAGAAAACTGAAGCCCAGATAAATGACTTGCCAAAAATCAAAAAGGTATATCATAAGAAGAAAATGAAAGAAGGTGTGTTAATTCAATGGCTTGGGGTAGAATTCTTAATTAAATAAGGAATAGAGGAGATTATAAGAGGAAAAATAGATCATTTCAATGTGAAAATTAATTTTTTTCCATGAATAGAAGAAAAAGATAGATAAGAAGAGAAACAATAAAGTATGGGGGGAGGATATTTATATCAGGTAAAACAAATGAAACTGAGAGGCAGCATGGCATAGTAAATAGAGAACAAGTCTAGAAGCCGGACAACCTGGGTTCAAGTCCTGTCTCTGACATATAGCCTCTGTGTGACTCTAGGCCAATCACTCTTCGTATTCTAGGCAACCCTTTAAGACTAAATTTCAGAGAAGACATTGCCCTACTGTAGTAGGGGGAATTTCTTCACCTGGGAGTTCCCCTATACTAATGAAAATTATAGGTCTGGTCCCTATTCCTAAAACCAATAAAAGTCTGATATTAAACATAAAGGCGGAATTGACACAAATACATAACTTAAGAGGTATCCCTAATAGATAAATAATCAAAGAATAGGAACGATTTTCAAAAAATTTTCAACCTTAAAAGACCATTTGAAAATCATGGTCCAAGTGACTAATAGTAAGAGAAACATAATTTTCCTTAATTTTTAGCTTGCAAATTTTAGTGAGGGAAAAATAGGAATGGTCGATCTTGGAAGGGCTATCGGAAAACAGGTATGCTAATATACTAATGGTGGAGTTCGGAATTTTTCCAGACATTCTGGATGTTATTTTAGAAGCATGTAAGAAAAGTAACTGACTAAACTGTCCATGTTTTTTAACATAGTTGATTAGAGAGTTAACAATTATGTAGTAAGTGCTTACTGTGTGCCAAGCAGTCTGTTATATGCTTTTTTGTTGTCATTGTTTGGTAGTTTTCAGTTGTGTCTGACTATTTGTGACTCTATTTGGGTTTTTCTTGGCAAAGATACTGGAGTGGTTTGCCATTTCCTTCTCCAGCTCATTTTACAGATGAAGAAATTGAGGCAAACTGAGTTAAGTGACTTGCCCAAGGTCACATAGCTAGTAAGTATCGGAGGTCAGATTTGAACTCAGGAAGATGAGTCTTGTCTTTAGATATAAATATATATATATATATATATATATATAAAATTTATGTAATATAATAAATATATATAAATAACTAAGTACATGAAAGAGTAAAGGTAATCTCTGAGAAGAAGACAATAGCATCTAGACTGAACAGGAGGTCTCCTACAGAATGTGGGATTTGAATTGTGTTGTGGAAAAAGCCAGAGAACCTAAGAGTTGGGGCGAAAAGGAAGAACCTTACCAGAATGAGGGACAAACTATACAGAATCAAAGAAATGGAGTGCTGTGTGCAAAGGATAGCAAGTAAGCTAAAACAGATATATCATAAGGTACGGGAGGTAGCATACATATAAAATCTATAAAGGCAGGAAAAGTCTAGGTTATGAAAAGTAGCCTTCCCACTACTGTTCCTAAGGAAACAAAAGACAAGGTAAAGTAAAAACAAGGGAATTTCTAGGTAAAACTACTATTATATCTAATCCATCAAAGATTGACCCTAGGGTCACTTTGGGACTACCCTGGAATTTAATGGGTTACCCCTTATTAAGTGGTTTTTATAAACAATAGCTGGGTGAATGCTTGCATGGGAATGTTGAAAAAGGGATTCCAATTCAGTTACTAGTTGGGCAAGATGACCTCTAATGTCATTTTTAACTCTGAATGATATTCTGTGTTTCTCATTTATCAGTTGAATTGATATGTTGCACTGTCTCCTGTCATAACATGTCATGAAAAGAAAATGGACAAATTTGTTCATGACAGATTTGTTCAAAAGTTGAAATTTTAGTCAAGACATAATGAATCATGTAACTGTTAGCAATGATCTCACTTTCTCATCCATAACCTTGGCATTCTAATTCAACTAACATTCAGGGGTAGCTCTGAATTTAATCAAGTACAATAACAATGAATGAGTTTCTGCAAGGAAAAAATACATCATATTTTAATTCTCTGTTCTCACTGTCCAAGACAGAAAGGAACCAATAGGTAGATCTCTTCTCTGGTATGTGGGTTTAACATTATCAGCAGCTAATGGAGGGATTTTTAATTCTTTTGTGACAAGGACTTCTTTTGCAGTCTGGTGGAGCCTATGGACCTCTTCTCAGGATAATATTGGGTTTCTTTTTTAAAGATTGAAGGAAATGCTAAACTTCAGTTAGAGGATATTGAAAATAGTTACATTTTTCCCATCCAGTCTCAAGGATTCCCCAAAATATGTCCACAGAGTCCTTGGAGGTTAATGGATCACAGGTTAATGACTCTTGAACTACTGTAATGGCATGGTTATGAACCTGAGAAATACATAAAATGTTAATGTGAGTGTTGGGGTTCTGTGTAGGATACATAAACTTGAGTTAGAGGTTCAAACTTGCTAGAGAGAGAAGGGAGCCAAAAGTGTTGTTGATACGGAGTTTGATACTTTTCAAGGATCACACACACACACACACACACACACACACACACACACACACAGAAACAAGTACACTATAAGAAGAAATCACAGTAAACAGACTGTTCAGAGCTGCCCTGTTCTTTCACAATGAGTTTTCATCTAGTGCTTCTGCTATCTTTTTTTCCAAAACACAGCTTAACCACTACCATAAAATGGGCCACCCTAAGCATCAGCCTAGAGCCCTAGCATTTCCTACTTTTATATGTTGCCCACCGGCAGCTTCAGAGTGGGAAACAGGCTGGTGCCCTTCATGGGGCTATTGGCAACAGTTGCCACCTTTCCGCACAGGCGACTACTACCTACCTATTTGATTGTGATAATATTCTAGATTTGAATTACCAAAGTAACCAAAGTTTGTCTTATATCCTCTAAATTCCTCAGGCAGAAGAAAAACTGTAAAATGGAAAAAGCAAATGAAACCACTGTGACAGAATTCTTCCTAAAGGGACTTTCTGGCTGCCCCAGACTTGAGATCATTTTCTTTGTGCTGCTCCTGGTAATGTATGTGGTCATTCTTCTGGGCAACGGCATCCTCATCATAATCAGCATCCTAGACTCCCACCTCCACACTCCCATGTACTTCTTCCTCAGTAACCTCTCTTTCCTGGACATCTGCTATACAACCACCTCTATTCCTTCAGCACTGGTCAGCTTTTTATCTCAAAGAAAAACCATTTCCTTCTCTGGATGTGCAGTGCAGATGTTCCTTGGCTTAGCCATGGGTACCACAGAGTGTGTGCTCCTTGGCATGATGGCCTTTGACCGCTACGTGGCTATCTGCAACCCCCTAAGATATCCTGTCATCATGAGCAAGGCTGCATATGTGCCAATGGCAGCTGGGTCATGGGTAACAGGAGGTGTCAACTCACTGGTACAAACAGTTCTTGTGGTACACTTACCTTTCTGCAGAAATAATGTCATCAATCATTTCACATGTGAAATCCTAGCTGTCATGAAATTAGCCTGTGCCAACATCTCCGGGAATGAATTTACCATGCTAGTAGCCACTACGTTATTCATTTTGACTCCATTGTTGTTAATCTTTATTTCTTATACATTAATCATCTTTAACATTCTAAAGATTCACTCAGCTGAAGGGAGAAGCAAAGCCTTTTCTACCTGCTCAGCCCACCTGATTGTGGTAATTATATTCTATGGGACCATCCTGTTTATGTACATGAAGCCCAAATCCAAAGAATCGCTTAAGTCAGATAAGTTGCAAGCCACAGACAAACTCATTTCCATGTTTTATGGAGTAATGACCCCCATGATGAATCCTTTAATCTATAGTCTCAGGAACAAAGATGTGAAACAGGCAGTAAAACATCTACTAGGCAGAAAGTTCTTTAGCAAGCAAATGTGAAAGGTTTTGTGCTTTGGTCCACTGTGTGATAGAAACAAAGAGTAGAAACTTCAGTAGACTATCAACTTGCAGATTGCAACCATCCATGCCTGCCCACCTTGTACTGCTCTTTCTATGTGATGTGGAAAACCTTCCACAGGAGGTCCACCCAGTGTACTGTGTCCCTTCTTCTAGATTTCTTTGTATTGCATGGATGCCAATGGAATGAGTGAGCTGTCCATCAGTCATCCTACAAGCTGTCTTTCATGATCAGCCCACCTCCTGGTCCAGTTATACATCTCCCTGATATACTTCATGCCATTTCTCTGGTTCAGTTGTTCATTGGTGATGTATTACAGGCTGCTCACCATCATCATCCACCTCTCCATTGGCCTTTGACTGTCTCTCAACTTTAATTTTTCAGACTGGAATTCATCATGAATAACAATTAAGAAAAGCATAGTTGTGAAATGTATTTGAGAAATAGTATTTGTCATCTGTCAAAACTGCCAAAGAGAGCACTCTCTCCCATACTTCCACCTTATTTTCCAAAGTATCCTGAAAGCCAGTCCAGCAAAATACTTCAAGATTCAACTCTAATCCCACCATCTTCAGGAAACCCTTTTCTAATCTTGCTGCTGGTAGTACCTTCCCTTTGAGATTATCTTCAATATACGCTGTATAATTCTTATATGTACAAATTATGTATATATGTTTTCTTCCACTAAAATGTGAGACCCTTGAGTGCAGGGACTTATTTTGTTGTTGTTGTTTTGTTTTGTTTTGTTTTTGTATCTTCAGCACTTGGCATAGTGTCTGGCACATAGTAACTGTTTAATAAATTCTTGTCAATTGATTGATTGATATAAGGTTTCCATTAATTACTAAATGCAAAATGAGTAAAGCACAAATGATCTGTCAATACACATGAACACAATAATAACTAAGGAATCTCCCTTTCAAAATGCTAGTCTTTTCATAGTTATAACAAGCCATTTGAAAAGTTATTTCAAGCTTAATTTTTTTCTCTGATAGAGATGTTTTAATTTCCCAAATCACACTTACTCTCTGCAGAGAGCTTTATGCTGGGTATGGATTGAGTTATAGAATTTAGATAAATCATGATCCCTGCCTTCATATGTTTCAATACTTTAGTTTATATTGTATATGATAAATACACAACAACCATAATTTTAAAACACATAGTGAATGATTAAGAGAGATAAACAAAAGTTTACCAAAGATGCTCACAAAAAAAAAAAGGTCATTGGTGAATGACTGGGTAGATCCACATCAGTGAGTAGACTAAAACAGCACCCCAATATTTGCTACCTTTATTTTCCTTTGGTTTTCATCAAATGAGAAGAGCTTAAAAATTCAAAGTAGTCCATCTATTAAATGAACCTCCACTAAAATAATTCTAGCCCTATTTATCTAGCCTGTATTTGAGCCACCCCAATGACACGGAGCTCGCTTCTTTTTCAGATGACTCATTCCACTTTTGGACAGCAGAAAATTATTTTTTCTGTTAAGTAAAAATTGACTTCCAACCAACTGAAACTTCCCTCTCCAAAATTACTATTGATCTCTTTATTGCTAAATCGAAAGTCCTCTTCTCAATTCTCCTCCTTCTAGGCCTCTTTACAACATTTGACTCTATTGACCACACTGAATATCATCTCCTCTCTATGTTTGTGTGTGTGTGTTAAGTATAAAAATATACAAAGTAGATACAAAATATGTTCTCTCTTGTGATTCTCCTACCTATTTAATCAGTCTTTCTTAGTCTCTTTCACTAATTCATCACAGCCATGTTACACCCATTAACATTGTGTGTACTATACTCAAGGCTCTGCTCTGTATCTGTTTCTCATTTCTTTCTGTACTTTTTTATTTGATGACATCATCTATTCCCATGGGTTGAATTACCATCTCTATGCTGACGACTCCCATATCTCTATGTCCACATTTAGTATCTCTCCTGAGCTCCAGTCTCACATCACCACTTACCTATTGGACATTTCCACATGGATGTCCTGTACACAGTTCAATTTCAACATATCCAAAACGGGACCCATTTTCTTCCCCCAAAACTCTTTCCTATTCTAAGCTTCCCTGTTACTGTCAAGGGCACTACCTTTTTAGTCAGCCAGATTCAGAACTTTGGTTATCATCCTCAGCTCCCCACTTTAACTCACCCCACATATCCAGTAAGTTGTCAAATCTTGTCATATTATCTCCATGCCTTCTGTCTCACATACATTCTTCCTTCCCATTTATACAGCCACCACCCTGGTTCATGCCCTCATCACCTCTTGCCTGGAGGAATATTGCCAAGGGTTTCTATTTGATCTTATACCCTCAAGCCTCTCCCCATTCTAGTATATCCTCTACAGATCTGCCTAAGTATTTTCCTAAAGTTCACACAAGATCTTTTCAACCCCCTATTCAATAAATGACAGGAACTCTCTATTACCTTTAGTGTTTTATATATATAAACCTCACTCTTTGGCTTTTAAACCTCCTCACAATCTGGTCCCCTTCTACCTTTTCAGTCTTCTTATATAAGACTCCCCTCCATGTACTCTATGGTCAAGACACACTGGTCTACTGCTGTTCCATATCTCTTGTCTCATTGCCTTTGAAGTGGCTGCTCTCCATGCCTAGAATGCACTCCCTCCTCACCTTCACCTGGCAAAATCCCTAGTTTCCTGTAAGACCAGGTTCAGGAACTATCTTCAATAAGAAACTTTTCCTGATCCCACAAATGTTAGTATATTTCTTCCTAAAACTGCCTTACATAAAGTTTGTAAATATTATGTATATGCATATATTATAAATAATAAACATTCTATTTAATATATATTTTATATATACATGTTGACTCCCCCATTAAAATGTCAGCTTCTTGAAGACAAGGACTATTTTTAGTTTTATCTTTGTATCTCCAGCATTTAGCCACATATACTACGCACTTAGTAAACTCTCGTCATTTATTTGATTAATTGGTCCTAATTCTATCCACCTGAGAGATCTCTTGCCTATGTCATAGATAATATCCCTCTAAAAATTTGAGGATGGTATTCACATGCTGTTACTTGTTATCTGCCCCATTGAAGGAAGTATCCATACTGGTAAGATCACAGATCCATTGAAGCATTGAAGACAAAGCAAGCTTGTGGGTTTGTAGTTATTGATATCTTCTTTAATAGTCAGAGGATATAGGAGTTCAAAGCAAAGTTATCTGACAAAGTGGTATAGTAAGAAAATAGCATCAAAACATTTTATAGCAACAAAAATATTCCCCCCCCCCATCTGGTGCACCATCTCTTACAAGTTGTTTTTTTTTTTTGCAATTGAGGTTAAGTGACTTGCCCAGGGTCACACAGCTAGTAAAGTGTCACGTGTTTGATCTGAGTCCGGATTTGAACTCAGGTCCTCCTGACTTCAGGGCCGGCGCTCCATCCACTGCGCCACCTAGCTGCCCCCAAATTTTTTTTTCTAACTCAAACATATCCACCCTTTCTTCAACTTTTCCTCATTTGATACGGTTTCTACACCCTTCAATTAAATAAGCACTTATTAGTCACCCACTGTGTGCAAGACACTGTAATGGAGGCTGGGAACACAAAGACAATCCCTGACCTTGAGAAGCTAACATTCCATTGGAGAGAAAACTATGTATACAGTGAGTTAAATGTAAAACTACACAAGGAATCAAAGATATCAGATAGATTTCTTGTAGAAAGTGCAAACTAGACTGTGTTTTGAAGGTAGCTAGAGATTCTGCAAAGTGGAGGTGAGGAAGGAAAGTATTCCAGACATGGGATAATAAAAAAGACTGAGGGTATAAAAACTAGAGAACCCTGAAAGTTCAGAATTATTAGTAGTTATCAAGCAAACATCCATTACCTGGTCCATTGCTTAAGTACCAGAAATAAAAAGTCAGGTGGTTTATTGTACTCAACACAATAAGGTCTCTAACTTACGGAGCCCAAGCTCCATACCAGAAAGAGGCAAAGAGAAAAATAAAATAAACCTAAGGTCATTAGCTGAAGAATAGCCAAGAATAGCCATGGACTACTAAGAGTCCATTAGAGCAGCACCTAGCTGAGACTATGAGACTTGTAAGGATATGATCACTCTAGCAAAGACTAAAAGACACACAGTGTCAGTAGAAACTACATAGTAATACCACTAGAAGACTTGTGCCATACATGTTCGCTATGTATGCAGCCCTCCATATATATCTTATATGTTCCCCATATAACTTGACCACATGCGTGCCCTATATGTGTATCTCTGTATTTGTGCTTCCAGTGTATGTTCTATTATTTCTATTGATGATATTTGGATTTGTGAAAGATGTTGCACCAGATTTGGGGGGAAATTTTTTTGTTGCTATAAAATGTTTTGATGCTATTTTCTTACTGTTCCACTTTGTCAAATAACTTTGCTTTGAACTCCTATATCCTCTGACTATTAAAGAAGACATCAATAACTAGCTTGCTTTCTCTTTAATACTTCAGTGGATCTATGATCCCACCAATATGGATATTCCCTTCAATGTGCAGATAACAAACCATCTAAATAAATGCTTCTTGAGTTGAATTACTGAGTATAATGGATAAATTAGATTAAATTAGATAAAAAGCACTTATTAAGCATTTACTATGCAATAGGTATTGTGCTAAGTGATAGGAATATATTCTACAAGCAAAAAGATAATCCCTGCCCTCAAGAAGCTTACATTCTAGTAGGGGAAGACAGCTTTTTTTTAAGAGTTGGAAAGGGGGAGGAGTTCAGAAGGGAGTGAAAGGTACTTACATGGGACTGAATTGGAAAGATCCAGAGAGCCAAGAGCTGAGCCAGGTTAGAAGATAGTGAGATTTTTAAAAAAGCTCTTGGCAGGCTAGAACATAGGTAGAATCCAATAAAATGAAATTATTTCATGAGGATAAATATAAATGCTACACTTCATTTTTTTACAAGTCAACAGGAAGTAGGACACATGGTTAGATAATTATTCATGAGAAACTATGCTGATATTTTAGTAGACTGCGAGTTCAATAAAATTCAACAGTACTATATGGCACCCAAGGAAGCAGAAGCATCCTTAAACTACATAAATTTATTTCATTTCAACAAATATTTATCAAGTATCTATTCTATGCAGATTTATTAAGAATCTATCTATTATTATTAAGTATCTATTTATTAAGTATCTATTCTATGCATGTGCTAGATTCTGGTAGAGATCCAAAATTTAGGAACCCAGTGGTTCAATTCATCTAACAAGAAATTAGCTTACAGCCTAGTGGCAGGTAAGACAGGTACATAACAATATGCAATAGTAGGGAATAAATGCATTACAGAGGTACAAAACAAAACTTTAAGTAGGGTTCAAAGCAAGTATAGCAGAGGTCTGACACATTGTAGGCAGTTTAATAAATTCTAGTTGACCGACTACCTCACTGACAAAGGTCATTACCAACAATGAGAAAGGAGAGAGGGTTTCATGAAGTAGGGGGCATTTGAGTTGGGCTTTAAAGGACAGGTAGGAGTTTAGCTGATGAAGAAGAAAGAGCACATTCCAGACATAAAAACCAGTATGAGCAAAGGCTCATGTAAAAAAGTCACTGGCAATGCCAGAGAGACAGAGGAGTATTCCAGTTTAACTAGATTATAGATTTCATGGAAGTTCATTAGGATAGCTGATAAAGGTCCAAAAGTG